CCCCCCCCCCACATGTTATATTCAAAGCTATGAGACATCCAGTTTAAGTTTTCGTCAAAGAGGATTTTTCCTAATATTTAATATAATATATCTCATGATACATGAGTTCAATAAAATTTTATTTTCAACTGGTTTAATATTTGTCAGTAAGTTTGACTTTTAAATCCATTCTTTACAAATTTGAATTAGAATCCTCAAGGATTACTTCAAGAAACAGGGCCAACTAACGAAATGATTTTAGGCGAACAACAGATCTTCATTCAATTCTATCATCAAATGGTCATTCATACGAGAAGGATTACGAAAATGAAGCAAAGCAAATGGCGGATGTACACGTGCACACTAAAAGACGAGGTAAAAAGGTTGAAATCAAACAGTTATACGATGTTTTACATCGCTAATCTAACGAGAAATGAACTTCGGCTTCTATTTGTTGGCATAATAACCCGTACTTACCAAACCTTCGACTAAAACGAGATCAATTTGGCTTGTTCCTGAACCGGCTCTCTTTTCTCTATTTTCCGCCATCTTGGATTGCAGCGTAAGGAAAATCTTACACTCGTAAAGTGCTCGAGAACGGTCGATACTAACACGCCAGTGACGTCATATAATATTCTCCTCGAATTGTTCTGGAAGGATTCCATCGATGCCTTTCCGTGGTATCGTCGGAATTATCTCGGACTAGTTACGTCATGGGTGACGCCTCAGTGACAAAATTATTCGAGCGCTGAGAATAAAGTGAAAGGTTTCTTCAAAGCTCTGCAAATAAGCTTGACGGGGATAAATCCTTTAGCCTTTTATAGATTTTCTGTTTCACATTTGAAAGGTAGATAGATAAGTTATCGTAATTTGGGTGTCTTGGAGACTTTCTGGTTTAAATCACGGACTGAATTTACTGGTCTTTGTTGGACATTGGGATTGAAGGAAGATGACTTGTATACCAAGCCAAACGTAGCGTTTGTTTAGTGTGAAGCCTTTCTTTCTTTACATCATGGGCTGCATTCAGAGCACGAGGAGAAGAGAATTACAGAAAAGGAAGCCAGTTATTAAGCTAGACGATGTCCAAAATCAACCCCGAGACGAGATAAATAGCAGAGAAGAAGGAAAAGATAGAAAAAGATTCGAAGTTGTACCCCCAGTACCGACCAGTCTTCCTCCACCAGAACGAAAAGTTTTTATTGCTTTGTACGATTATGAAGCGAGAACTGCCGAAGATTTGAGCTTCAAGAAGGGAGATAAATTAGAAGTAGTTAACGATACAGATGGTGGAGATTGGTGGCAAGCAAGATCTTTAGTTTCTAATGGAGTTGGTTATATTCCGAGTAATTATGTTGCTCCTCAAACATCCCTAAGAAGAGAAGAGTAAGTTAAACGCAAAAAAATATATTTTAAAAATTAAACATTCCCATCGAGAGTTTGATTGGAATGAGACACACTTGTGGCACGAGAAATCTTTCAACGCGTAGTTTTGATGAGCTACGGGTTTTGAATATTATATCTGTCAGGTTTAGGACGCTGTATTTTGATTGAAAATACACTTATCGCCATTTTCAAACTCGGTTGTCAAACGTTCTTGACAGGAGACAGACATATGTGGTTGGATTAGTGGGGATATTTGCATTAGATGTTTATTTGATTCTTTGAACTTCTCACTTGGAGGCTTTTGACGTCTTCCTATCAGACTGATTACTGTGTATTAACCGTGAGATTTTTTGACTATTTGTGATTAGCTTAAATTCTAGACCACTTTTTACGTGATATATTTCAAGTAATGAACGTCAATATAAGTGCGAAAAAGGCTTCGAACGTGTCCAGAACTTGTTTTCCGGGTGCATAAGGGCATTTCTGATCTCATTGTTTGGCATTTCCTTTCATGACAAGAAATTCCACGAATATCTGTTTCTATCTGATATGAAGCTGATGTTGAAGTTCAAAGAAAGGTGTTGAATTTAGGAACAATTTATTTACTTAGCATCCTTTTCTAGCCAGTAATTTAGATGCACACAATCAAACGAGTCATTTTTGCTTTCTCATGTATAATAAATAAAGCATCATCTTGAAAAACGTATGAATACATTACAGTTTAATTAAATTTTCTGTTTCTAATGAAATTTTCTTTTGGTTTCAGCTGGTATTTTGGACCAATCCGACGAGTTGATGCTGAGAAAATGTTGTTGATGCATGGAGAGAGTGGTGCTTTCCTTATTCGTGAGAGCGAGAGCAAACCAGGAGATTATTCTATGTCAATACGAGATGGTGATAACATTAAACATTATAGAATTCGTACTCTTGATAGTGGTGGATTTTTCATAGCACATCGGTCTCAGTTCCAAACACTGGGAGAACTGGTTGAACACTATCAAAAAGATGCTGATGGTCTTGTTATTCGACTGAAGGATCCATGCCCAGCAATTGAATTACCCACCATCCCTGATCTATCTTATAACACCAAGGATCAATGGGAAATTCCAAGAGAGTCCATACGTCTGATCTCCAAACTTGGCCAGGGTCAGTTTGGAGAAGTTTGGGAGGGGCTTTGGAACAACACGACTCCCGTGGCTGTAAAGACACTACGAACAGGGACAATGTCTCCATCAGCTTTCCTTGCTGAGGCACAGATTATGAAAAGACTTAGACATCCTAAGCTGGTCCAGTTATATGCTGTTTGTACAAAAGAGGAGCCTATTTATATTGTTACTGAACTAATGGAAGGGGGTAGTTTACTTGATTACTTAAAAGGACCTGGAAGAGCATTACAACTACCTCAACTTATCGACATGGGAGCACAGATTGCCGCTGGTATGGCATATCTTGAAATCAACAACTATATCCACCGGGATTTGGCGGCTAGAAACATTCTAGTAGGTGATAAAAATATCGTAAAAATAGCCGACTTTGGACTGTCAAGACTGATTGATGAGGGAGAGTATACCGCTAGGGCTGGTGCTAAGTTCCCTATCAAGTGGACGGCACCAGAAGCAGCGCTGTACAATAAATTTACTATCAAATCCGATGTCTGGGCATTTGGCATTCTTTTGTCAGAATTAGTTACCTATGGACGTATTCCTTACCCAGGAATGGGTAATGCTGAGGTTTTAGCACAAGTTGAGAGGGCATATCGCATGCCGTGCCCTGTCAATTGTCCAGGACAGCTTTACCAAATTATGCTGGATTGCTGGAAACAAAATGCAGAGGAAAGACCAACATTTGAAACACTTCAATGGCGGCTCGAAGATTTCTTTGCTATGGATACTACAAATTATGCTGAGTATAAGGATTAAGAACAAACTTCGCACTAAAGTTATTGTAGCAACATTATTTATATTAAAAGTCTGAGAAATTGTTTTATTTGCTTCAAAGTGTATAGAATTTGTATTTTGTTCCTAATTATTTTTAGTTATTACAGATGTAAATATTTTAGATAGAATTAGGGTTCTTTGTACATAAATCCTAACATCCTTCTGAAAACTTCTAAAGTCTCTCTCGTGTAAAGTTCCAGAACATTCCCATTCTTTTCGTATAGAATAGTGTTGAAATCTAAGATATTCTTTACGAAATATAATTTAAGTCGTGTGCGCTGCATAAAAATTCGAAATTCTAGTACTCAATTTTTCTGGATGTCTTTTTGTTGTCTTAAGTTTTAACCTAGTTAGCCAACATTGTTTTTATATCAACCACAGTGGCAATGAATGATATTTATCAATAACCAGTTGAATAACTTTGCCTAGCCTACTAGCCAACTTTTTTGCACAATATCAAAATGAAGTTGGCGTGATTAAGTAAAGGATCAAACATTAGGGTGAGCGCATTCTTAAAAGTAAAGTCCGAGGCCTTTATTTTTAAGAATGCCCTTGCCTATTTGTTTGTTAACCAGCCCCAATCCGTGATTTAGGAACAATTGATTGCGATTTCATATTGATTTGATATGAATCTCCCCGGGACAGGTCTCTGTTCTTGAAAATAGACCTGTACCAGGACGTTATTGAGGATAACTACCGCATTACACAATAGGATTGGGGTGTGGCTGGTGAATAAGAAAACATCTTTATAATTTTAAAGCTTTTCTGTCTTGTTGCCAGGAACATTGCTAGTATTATAAACAACTCGCTTCAGAATTCAAAGATCAGTTTTACTTCACATTGTATCATGGTTACCAGGATCTGATGATTATAATAAGGACATTGCTTTTTAATACACATTCGTTATATTAAAATATCGTCACTATATCATGATTGTTTTTTTTATGGATTACTTGTTGGTAAGTGCTCGTACAAATATTGAAGCTTAAGAAGCAGATGTCATGAACATATGCTCCTATTTAAAAAAAGATTTGGAAGCCAAAGGAGGTAGGCAATAGCTCATTTCAGGGTTATAGACATACCACCAAATATGAATTAGAATGCACAATGGTGTGTTTTCTCCAGCTCAAGACAAAGCATTTACACAAATCACTTACACCTGTAGCCTGGAAAAAGGAAGGAAAGAGAAAAATTGGGTGGGATGATTTCAATTTGTGTGTTGCCTCATTTTCACGCTTGCCTTGTTCTCCTGGCAGACGCCTCGATGTCGACGATAGCTTGATAGAAAACCTAGACTTGGGCTAGCATCTGTAGCCCAAGTAATAATCAAGGTGTTCAAAGTATTCTTTACTACAAATAACACTGGATGTCTCAATACCTTTCTATGTTTTGTTTGCATAATACTTTGTAATTACGAAGTGCATTATAAATGATAAGATACATATCATTCCAGTTTTGCTTGGATCATCAAATGACCTACCCTATCATTTTATTGCCTTTCACTCCAGCAGTTTTTTTTTTCCTTTTTCTTTTTTGTGGGTAATATTATATAACTAGAGTGACCACAGTAAATCTGTGAAACTTTAGTAATACTAAAGAGCACAATTTCATTCAAATTCATTGTTTTCTATTGTTTAATTAGCACTATTTTGTACTATTTAGTTTAGTGTTTCACAGATTAATTGTTTGCACTCTAGTACATAAGGGTTAGTGTAGTGGTTTACCTCTTGCTGTGGTCTAGTCTGGGTTTGAGCCCTGGGTTCTAGGTTTGAGTTTATTTGATGTGTTTTTCCCTCCCTTGCAATGAGGGTTTTTCTCCAGGTTCTCTGGTTTTCCTCCCTCCATAAAAATCTACAAGTGAGTTGAGTGTTGTATATAATGCAGATGTAACGCATGTGAAGTGAAAATAAATTGTATTGATGACAAATGCAACTTTCAATAAATCCATTTTATTTACATTCTAAAATTTAGTACAAAAATATTTTACTTCAAGTGATTAATTTGATAACTAACAAATGTAGCTAATTCCCCAAACTACAATACTCTATCATAAATGCCTCGTAATCTGAATTGCTAATGTGTTCAACTCATACACTTATTTCAATAAAGTTAGTCACCAAAAACCTAGAAAGCTGAGATCACTGAGCATCATGGGAAACTTTTCATATCAAAAAAGCATATATATACAAAGCTTTTTTAATACAAACTGCAGCTCGATGATGCTCAGAAGAGATGAGACTGTAACCGGTAAAAGATTCGCAAGTCCATGAACAGTTATCAAGCGGTTGAACGTGTAAAATGAATCTACCCATAATCTTTGTAGGCCTCAGCTTTATAGCTTTTCAGGTGACTAACTTTATTGAAATAAGTGTATACACAGAACATGTTCAAAACTATCAGGAAAACCCTATTAGGCCATATTTGCATGATCACCATTTACCACAACTACCTGTAATTCTTATCAAAAGTGTTTTGTGAGGTGTAGAAAAATGACAATATTGGTGCTAAGCAATTTAGAAAAGTATAGTGGTGCACAATAATGTTTTGGTAGTTGTGGCGGTACAGAGAGTATTTTTTTGTATGATAGTCACTTTGTAATGAAATGGCAATCAATTGGAAGCATATTATTGCAGAACCAATTATGCCACACAATTAACTCTGTGGTGGGAAATTCAAGCAGGATGCTTCGGCATGGCAATGTCATATTTATTGCACCCACATCTATACACTCAGTGAAATTTTTACAGTATTCAGACAAAAACTACTCCAATGCTGTCACAAATGAAAAAAGGGAACTAGAATGACAGAAGAGATTGGAGAGAAGGCAGTCCATTTCCCACTCCATATATATATCCTTCTTGACTAGAAGAATAGTCAGCCACATTTCATGAACCAATGGAAATTAGTTATAGATTTTAAAATTAACAACAACACTGGCTTGTTTAAACATATTTTTATAATCTCAAATCTAAACTAATCATCTGGGTCCTGTGGTACGAAGCCTGGATAGTGCTAAACATTGGATTAATCTTATCCACTGGATAAAATAATGTTTTGGATTACAGCATCAACGTATCCACTGGATAAGGAATTCTCCGCTGGATAGCACTATCCAGGCTTTGTACAACTGGGCCTTTTATTAAACCAATAAAAATTCAATGAATATCTATAAAAACATATAGTTAGATAACCATGTAAAACAATCATTTGCCCATGAATATAATTGTATATATATATATATACACTTAACCAAAAAAATTCTGTAACTTTAGTCTTTTATTCTCGAGAGATGAAACAATAGAAAAACAAAAGAGATATATATATATATGTAAAGTTACAGAATTTTTTTGGTTAGGTGTATGTATATATATATATATATATATATATGTGTATATACACTCGATTGCAGAAACGTTGTAGTATACATTTATGCATTTATACAAATATCTAATGAGATGCATAATGAAAGATAACCATTTTCAGCGCTTAAAAACAACTGATTTATAATCTGTACGATCTAATAGACAAGAAAAAAATATTTTGATAGTCACTGAATGAAACACCAAAGCGTTGGCCGGCCTACCGAGTATTGTTTATGAACAGCGGCTAAAGTCAAGAGGCGGGAATGTGTGTGTGTGTGTGTGTGTGTGTGTGTNTGTATAAATGTATACTACAACGTTTCTGCAATCGAGTGTATATATATATATATACATATATGTATATATACATACAATGATATATCATATAGCTTTAGAATTGATACAAATGTTGACTGAATGTTCAATTAACCAATGGTAACATTTGTTAAAATTAAATTAGTTGGAACAAATGATTTGCTTTTCATGAGTGACCAACATTATGGAAGGTTGTCAACAGTAACAACAACAGCTGCATTGCATGTAGTTGCCTTCTTTTGGCTACATGCATAACTTCCAGATAATTTATAAAAAGAGTATGATAATTTCCAAGTGCGTACATTCTTTCCATTTTGCATTGGTTTGCCTTTCTAAATATTATCTGTATTACTTGCAATATTATTCACGAGTGATTTTCATAAACCCGTGAAATAAATGTTAGCGTAATAATCATCAATACAAACTAGCACAAGTTATTACCCATTAGACTTTAAACAACGAAGCAATAAAAATACAGTCAATAAACTTTCACTGTTATATTTAGTTGTGTCACTAATAACCACTATTACACATTAATATGCATTAATATGAGTTAATAGCTAAATTTTGTTTCACGGGTTTATGAAAAGCACTCTAATAGAATTGCATAATAATTACTTGCTTTTTTACTACAAAAAGTATAAAATATTATTCATATTAGAATTTGATTTACACATGCAAGCTTCTAGCAATAACAATTTTGTCATCGCATCAGCAAAGGATTTTGTACAAAGTGTGTTAATTTTTGGTAAAAATATATTGCCCATTCATTAGTAACATATCATTTTTCAAGTATTCATTAAATGACTTTTGGTATCAATACCAATAACAGTACTTTAGTAATGACCCAATTTATTTTTGTAAATGATATAAAACTATCTTGTACGGAAGGCTTTCATGACAAGCTAGGAAACTCCAAAGTTTTAGAATATTGTATTAAAAGAGAATTCATTTCTCAAAGGTGAAAATCTCTATTGTTTATTTGTCATGAATGTTCAACAATATGGTAGTCATGATGCAACTATGCACAATTTAGCTATCTATTACCAATATTGTATAGATTGTATGGCCGAGCTAGACTTAGCATACAGGCCATTGTAATAGTCCAAAAACGTGACAAATAATTGACGTGGAAATAATTAAAGATCTAATTCTACATCATAATGCTAAACAAAATATTAAAATATATGTATATTAATTAATAGTCTATAACAATGCTGAAAAAAATTCACTCCACCCATCTCATAACCATGTGACCATACAAAACCAATCAAATTACAAAGTTGTACCTCAAAAGATTTGATTGGCAGATGCCAAAAATCCAACCTTGAGAACATTTTTGCTTATCATGTGTCACATCATTATAATATGGATGTAAAATTATTTTGGTATTGTGAATAATACTCCATTTTACAGTTCAATTCAGTGACCACGAATAATAGTTCCTAGCCGAGGCTGGAGTTTCCGCACATGATAAACTATAGTTTTGCTATGCGCGAAAACTCCAGTATTGAGCACCGTATCTCAAAGATTCATTTATTCGTTGATCTGATCAGCTTGTCAACCTTTAGAACCAATTAGCTATTTTTTAATTATTACATCAAATGTAATAATTAAATGATGAAAAATTATATTCTCAGTACGATACTGGTGAATATGAATGATTTGAAAAGTGCTTAATTTATTTTCATTATATAGTATGTAAAATTGCTTAATTTTGATTACTGGTATTAGTTTGTTACTAACCTTTTCCCTGCATCTATCTAGAGTGAGCTTGATGAGTGTATTTATAACAAACCATTTGCATTGAAATAATACAACGTTTTCTTCCTCCATTCGTTATTTAAAATATTTGATCCTAACAAGGATAAAATAACCCAAATATAAGGATACATTTATATCTCAACCCTGATTTAAGATTGGTCCAATTCTTTGTACTGTGTTGGGTCAGACTGGAAGAACTCCTCAAGTTGCCATTGTAGAGTCTCAAAGGTTGGTCGAGCCATTTCATCCTTTTTCCAACAATCTTTCATGATATCGTAAAGCCTTTCTGGGCAGTTGGCAGGTCTTGGCATTCGGTAACCACGTTCAACTTGTTCAACAACCTAAAACAAAGAAAGATTGAACAAATCAAATGTCAATAAAATCAACAATTATTTATTCAATACGTTTAGCCGAAAGCTTGCAGCAGCTTATAGTACAGTCTCCCACCAACCAATGAGAAGTTCAAGCCTCCATTGGCAGATTTCATTTTCAACTGAAGTGCATACACGTGTGAGTTTAGTTTGTTTGATGTGTAGTTCTCTTGCTTGCCAAGAGGGTTTTCTCCACAGGTACTCCCATTTCTCTTCCTACGTAAAACTCAACAAGTAGCCAACATCAACAGTGTTAGTGGGTGTAGAACAAACTTCATGGAAGAGCACCTTATGGGGATTACTGGCTGCAAAACATTTATAAAATATTTATATACTTTCTTTATGCATGTATTACCTAATTCACCCAGCTTTTAGTATAAGGACACTTTCTCTGATCCCTTTTGTATGTGTCACATTATAAGGGTTACACCCATGTACAGCCTCCATCAACACTCAATGCCAAATTGGACACAAAAGATGTGTATATATAACAGATCATCAAATTTATTATGATACACTCAACGAAATTACTCAATTCTGATTGGACAAGAGGAGTACAATTAAATCCCAAATTGTACTCTGTAGAGTCTAAAATGTGTATTATAAACAAAGAATCATACAATCTTCTTGTACAATTCAGAATTTATAGATACTCATGATGTTTTGAAAGTTCTCAAATTGGACTTGCCTAAAGGCTCATCCAATTTTGAAAGCTTTCAAAACATCACTCGTACTTATAAATTCTGAATTTTACTCCAGATCATGTGATTTCTTTTTTTTTTAAATCTGACCTCTCTATTGGCCATTCCTGGGTATGGTATTCGTCCATAAGTCACAAGCTCTGTGAGAAGAATTCCAAATGACCAAACGTCTGACTTGATAGAAAACTGTCCTTTTAGGCAGGCCTCTGGAGCTGTCCACTTGATAGGGAATTTGGCACCCTCTTGAGCACAGTAGATATCCTCGTCGATCAGTCGAGAGAGACCAAAGTCAGCAACCTTCACATTATTGTTATTACCAACAAGAATGTTCCTTGCAGCAAGATCTCTGTGAACATAGCCATATTTCTCAAGGAAGGCCATACCCTCAGCTATCTGTGCTCCCATGTCAATGAGGATATTTATCTGAAGAGCTCGCCCATCATCACTGCGAAGGTACTCCAAAAGAGCTCCTTTGGGCATCAGCTCGGTGACAATGTAAATTGGCTCATCTCGTGAGCAAACAGCATATAGCTGAACAAGCCGTTGGTGGATGAGTTTTTTCATGATTTCAGCTTCGGCAAGGAAGGCTTCTGGCCTCATCGTTCCCTCTTTGAGTGTCTTAACTGCAACAGGAGTAGTCTCATTCCAAATACCTTGCCATACCTCTCCAAAGTTTCCAGCTCCAAGTCTTTTTGTCAATTGAAGTGATTCCCTTGCTATCTCCCACTGGTCGGCTGTGTTGTATGAAAGACCCATAGTTTGTGGTTTCTCAATCTAAAGATTTCAATGTCAACAAATATCAATATCATTTGTTATGATTACAAGTGTGTATAATTTACGATCTGCTTCACTTTAGCCAACCCCTCTTCCAACATCTAATTATTAATTTGTACAAAACCAATTTGACAGGAAAGAATATATACCAACTTTGGTGATTTTGCCACCCCCTCCCCTACAAAACTAATCCTTGAAAGGAAATGTTGTTAACTAGCTTTGTTTATAAGCTTATCTTCACTGGATAAACGAATACATTGTACACATATATATCTTGAATATTATCTAGAATTAAAACGATCCACTAACAATTATTTGATTGTAACATTAAAATCATTCTTAATGAAAATTTTATTGTTTTATCGCCAGCTTTTTATACAAAGAGATTTGTTTGGCTAATTTATCATGTCTTTAAAAAATCTTTACAGAAATCTATAACATTTTAAAGCCCTTTTCACTACTTTCCCCAACTTACCCTTTCGCATGGTTTCTTGAGCAAGCCACAAAGTCCATCAGACTTTTCATGATAGTGATCCACTAGTTCATTCAGAGTACTAAACACATTAGCACGAGCTATGAAGAACCCTCCATCATCACTCTTACGGATACGATAATGCTTAATCTGGTTACCATCTCGCATGGACAAGGCAAACAATCCTTTGCTGCTGTCTCTTATTAAGAAGGCGCCGTCTTCATTTTGTTCGGCAAGCAGGATTTTTTCTGCTTCTGGTCGCTTAATCACACCATAGTACCAACTGCAAACATCACAAGAATATATTTCAGGCTTTTTATATGCATCTACATGACATGATGATCATCAAAGGAGGCTAATGAGAAATCTTATGAATACTAGCAATATTAGCTGCAATAACATAACATGCAAATGAACATTTAAAACCAATTGAATAAATATTCTACTTGGCTTTAGATTGCAGTTAGTGTGAAAACTAATATTTTGAGCCATTTTGAGTCAAAACCCTATACAATATTCGACATAAGAATAATTTGCAAGTAAATGTGAAATGGAATTTGGATGACCAAGATTCTTTTACTTCTTTCAGCCAACAGTATTACAGACTGTAAGTAGATTATGGAACAACAATGACCCTTTGTTTGACAATAACAAATACTTAATCTTTAGTTTCATTAAATAATTTGATCTGCAGAAACCAGTCTTATTTTTAATATCAAATTTTCAAATCAGCAACAAATAAAGTTTGCATTGACAAAATTGGATCTTCCTTCCATCGAACGTTTCAGCGTACTTTCAGCTGAGATCCTGCCAAGAAAATATTGGCTGAGAATAATAAATTTCGAAGTGAAATATTTCTTTTAGTAAGATAGCTGGAACGAGAGAGGATATTGTGCAACTTGGAGGAACGACATTTCCGGGTTGTGGATCTTTATCCTCTTGTGAATAAACTTACATTTTATCGAAATCACAGCTAATTATCTATCAAACTTGAGACCAGTTACCGCGTAAATCAACTATTAATAGAAATGAATTGCAAAGTAGCTTTCCTTTCGTAGGATTTTTACTTGTAGACGGTAGAATATTTGGAAAATACAAGAGAAAAATGAAAGACAGTAATATTTGATGCGAATGATTGCCGTTGTGTTTAATGACGGCGTCCCAAACTCATCCTTGTATTGCTCGATGTAGTGTTTGTTTAAGAGGGGTTTTGTTTTGTATTGGTTTGAATTCTTATTAAACTTACGCCTCAGCTTCTAAGGTTGCCATCGGAGCCACATAATTGCTTGGAATGAAACCTTCAGCTCCGGTTTCTTTCGACTTCGCCCGCCACCAATCTGCTCCTAAATCTTCAACATTCACTTCGAGGATTTCGCCTTTTTTAAAACTCAGATCTTCGTGTGTCCTCTCGTCGTAGTCGTACAAAGCTAAGTACATAGCTGTCTTTGGAGAAGGAGGTTCTGGTTCTGGAGGAATAGGTAGTTGAACGGGTTGAGGATTTGGAGTGTAACGCTTACTTTCCACAATAATTTCATTCTCATCGATGGGTTTGTTTTCGTTTCCGCTGTCTTCTTTTGGGACTGCGCTACTCTTCTTCGACAAGCACTTCCCCATGAGTCTTGTAGTGTTGTGATCCAAGAATAAAGCCTTATTACTGGGTAGAATTTAAGAATTAGTCCCGAAAAATTTCCTTCATTCCTTCGGTATTTGATTCTTGACTTTCTGTTCGAACACCTTCCGGGATTGCGCTGAGCCCACAGTCCCTGTAAAACTTTCGTTAAAGTAGGCCTCTTATTGGCTAAAAGTTTAGAGTTACAGTATGACATTAACCATGGAAATAACTCAATCTGCAATATCCAATCAGTTTGATTGTTATATTGAGCTTTCACTTGAAGCGAGATTAATCAACTTGATCCCCAAGCTCACCGCGGCTGACGCTCAAGCGGCAAATAATTAACGTACAACCTACTTAGAAACGTTATTCCTATTGGTTAAGATAAAAACGTAATGATTTAGGCTTATATTAGTAAAAAATTAATTGTCTTCATAGAAATGATTTTGGTGATGACTAAAACCTTTGTCAATGCGTAGAAGTCAACACCAATGGCTTAAAAAACTTACAATTAAAAAGGTTGTTATTCAATGTAATGTTTATTGTTATCCAATAAATTGCTTTGTTCTAATTATGTTATACAGAAGTAGGTAATTTTCTGATACCCAATCTCTCCGCGTACTTTGTCGGAATGAGGGAATGGTGTTCAGTCCCTCCCGATACTGCTTCCTCCTCCCTCAAACTCTCTTCTTGTCGATCTTTTAGCCTTATTTTCGAGTGTCTAGAGACCCTTTCAACCACAATAATAACTCAAATAAAGACCTTCAAGGTGAGGTCTTATCTTTAAAGCAGCCATGGGTTGCTGCTGCGGGAAGCCACGTGCTAAATACGAGACAAAAAGAGAGCCGGACCAGCAGAAGCCTGGCGGTCAAGTCGTTGACGGTGGCGGTGGCTACAACCCTTCAATTATTGGAGGCTACAATCAAGGTCCAAATACAGCGAACCGAACTAACGGAATGCACTTTCAGTCCAGTTCAGGAATAATGCAGCCATCATCCTTCCCAGGAATGATGCAACAGCAAAAAGCAACGAATATTTATGTGGCTCTTTACGATTATGACGCGCGAACGAACGAAGACTTGAGCTTCAGAAAAGGCGAGCGCCTTCAAGTTGTTGATAACACTGATGGAGATTGGTGGCTTGCTAGGTCGCTAACTACTCAAAGAGAAGGTTATATTCCTAGCAACTATGTTGCTCAAGAGCAGAGTATTAAATCTCAGGAGTAAGTAGACTTCAAAGAAATATGGTTTCCGCTTTTATGATATTATGAAACTTTGAACTCACGCTCTACTTTCGGCATACACATTCGTGCACATTCGACTATTTCGCAAGTCCTTAAACAACCAAGGTTTTAATCTTAATTTAGTAATATAAATATTAGCTTTTTACTATTTATTAATTCCGGTGCTTTGTATAACACAGATTTTAGCTCAAGCGTTTTAGATCAGTTTAAAAATTTTGGCATTCAAAACAAGATGATCGTTTGACGTTGAAACTTTTCACTTTCTACACTTTTTATCATATCTGATTTCGAATTCGTACTATGTTATTGGAAAATTTAATCGCTTGAGTACCGTAAATAAAAACTAAACCCTATGGAGAACCACACTTATGGATTTTGTTGAGATTTAGCAAGTTTTTTTTGAGATCTTGTTTTATTTATTAGTATGGTTTCGATTCGCTGGCGAATACTTCAAGCACAAATAATATTGACTAAAGAATGCATTCGTTCTTGCTACTTCCGGGCTCAAAAATCGTCCTAAAATTTGACCTTAAAAAATATTAGGAAGCATGTTTTACAGAGGATTCTAAAATATACCCCTTCAATTACTTGTAACCGCATTTTTGAGATTTTGAACTTTGATTTTTGAGAATCTTTGTAATGGAATGCTTGTACTAATTGTCTTGTGTCAAATCCTTCAAAGTGAAAGTCGTCTTATAAAAGACTATTGTATGAAGATTGTGGTAACTTCGCCGTTATTTCGATCTCACTTTGTGGTGCTTACTTTTGAGCAATTGCAATTTTAGTTTCTTACTTTTAAAGTTTATAAAAGTCCTTATTATTTACTTAATACAATTTCATTTGGTAGTTCATTTTGATAATTAATTTTTATTTTTTAATTTTGACATTTAACCTGTCATATCTAATCGTTATTAATATTGAAGACAAAAGTAGGATCAAGTTTTTAAAATATACCAAAGTTAATATATTTTTGTATTTTATATATATTTTTCCTTTTGAAACAATTTGTGCGTGAATTAGCATCCATAATTTATGATAACAATGGGGTGGAATTGTCATTTTGTTGGTGATTAAATCCTCATTTTATTTTTCTCTAGTTGGTTTTTTGGGAAAATAAAACGAGTTGATGCGGAGAAAAAATTACTTGCTCCTGGGAATCCTAAAGGAACTTTCTTGATTCGTGATTCTGAGACGCAACCTGGGAATTATTCACTGTCAGTCCGAGATGGTGATAATGTCAAGCACTACCGAATACGCAAGCTAGATTCTGGTGGATATTACATAACTACTCGAGCACCATTCAGTACTTTGATAGAACTTGTAGAGCATTACATTACTGATGCCGATGGATTATGTTGCATGCTTTCACAACCATGCCCAGGCGAAAAACCTATCACTTCAGGTTTGTCACATAATACTAAAGATGCCTGGGAAATTCCAAGAGAATCTCTTCGATTGGAGCGAAAGCTTGGACAGGGTCAGTTTGGAGAAGTTTGGTCTGGTGTTTGGAACAACACCACTCCTGTTGCTATCAAGACATTACGAGTTGGGACCATGTCACCGCAAGCTTTCTTGACTGAGGCACAGATTATGAAGAAATTACGGCATGCAAATCTGATTCAGGTTTGTGAAATAAGTTTTATAATGAGCTGTTTATTAAATGTCACAAACTTAATAACGCTTTGACATACTTGTCAATGAATTTCAAAACATTTGTTTTTTCAAAAATACACGAATATTTATTGTAGAAGTCTTGTTTTATTTGAATGCCCTAACATATTTTAACTTAAATGTGCATTATAAATATATGACTATTTAATGTGTTCATTGATTTTTAATTTATTATAATGATATAAATAAGAAAGTATTTGAGATGCGCTTATAGTATAATATAGTAACAAAAATTTTATAATTAACTTTTTATAAGCTTCAGTGCATGTCTGATATCTTGCTGTGATTTCCAGTTACACTTGACCAACTGAGACCTAAATCACAAGCGAAAAATTGAGTTTTGGTGGACGGCAATCAAAAGGGTTTCTTAAACGTGTCTAAGGATTCTGACTCTGGATTTCAAATGCTTAACTGCAAAGCTATCGATACTGACTTATCTGATCTTGAAGAAACTCAAATCATAGTCATAGTGATAGCTTTGCAGTCAAGTGTTTGAGATTTGGAACCAGAATCCTGTGACATTTTTGAGAAAATATATTCATTATTGAGAAATTTAAAAGCATGAGGTAAGGGCAACGGTTTTTACACATTTGCATTTGTTCATGTGAGTATTTAAACCAGTCCTGGGGTAGAAACCAATCAAAATGATAGAAACCTTTTTGATTCACGTCCGCCCAAACTCAATTTTCATTTGTGATGAAGGTCTAGTTGGTCAAGTTTGACTGAGAATTGCAGTATACTTCTGAATTAATGTCAAAGAGCACGTTACATCAAGTGTTACGCAGAAAGAAGGGTACAGAAAGAAGATTAGCAAACGAATTCATTGTCAAAGATGTTTTACCACACATGTGTTTGTAATATGATTGAAAATGTTGGTAGAAGGCTACCATTGTGAGTTAATTAGGGTAACTAGCCATGCAACAGTACCACTATAGAGCATCCGGCATTACAGTATATCCTTGCATTCTCTTAATTTGGGTGTTATAGTGCGACTGCACCAACCAAGGCCAACCCGACAAATTTTCATACAAAATAGCCAATCACGATTGAGTATTTTTAAACATTAGAATCTGTACAAATTTACCTATTTTCCTCTTAAAAGTCATATATATTACTTTATACGAGTGCGTGTATGATCAGAAGTGAACACGAAACAGTTTAAAGTGCTCTAACCCCTGATACAATACTTTCAGTATTGATTCTACATAAAGTGAATAGTTGAATGGTGAAATATTTCTTCATTTGAATGTTGCTTCTTCATGAAGGTTTATACTTCCAATATGTTTATGACTGTGACGTCACCCCAGGCTTCATTTAATATACAAATTTTGACTGGTTCATACAAATAGTTTTTAAAAAGAATCATTATTAAACTCAAGGTTTCCACAATATTTATTGGAAATCTGATGTCTCATAATGGCTAGTGTTTAGCATTAGAAATTAAAACAAATACACTCAAAAGCCTGGGGTGACGTCACAGTCAGCAACGTAACGCATGGAAATATAAACCTTCATAACTTGAAGACACATCATTCAAATGAAGAAGTATTTCACCATTGAACTATTCACTTTATGTAGAATCAATATTGAAAGTATTGTATTGGGGGTTAGGTGCACTTTAAAACCCATCTAAACCCATTTAAAATTCATTTGTTATGCGGCGTTAATGATGTAATTTGTGACTTTGATTTAAAATTTGTTTTGTTAGCCTTGGTTGATGTAGTCAGACTTTAATTGTATTCTGTGAAGTCTCCATTTTATGATACAAATATATCAGATCTGAAAAAGGGCTTATTAACATTATTAATTTTCATTACTTTATCCTATTTAACATCTAACGAAAATATGTTTGCAGTTATATGCCGTCTGCACCCAAGAAGAACCAATATACATTGTAACAGAGTTAATGAAGCATGGCAGTTTACTGGATTACTTAGTAAAAGGTGAAGGGCAACACCTCCAGTTACCTGCCCTTATCGACATGGCTGCACAGATCGCTGCTGGTATGGCATACCTGGAAAAGATGAACTACATCCACAGAGATCTTGCTGCTCGTAATATTCTCGTTGGCGACGGTAATGTCTGTAAAGTTGCTGATTTCGGCTTGGCGAGGCTGATAGAAGATGACGAGTATAATCCACATCAAGGAGCCAAGTTCCCAATTAAGTGGACAGCACCAGAAGCTGCTCTCTACAATCGCTTCACCATCAAATCTGATGTCTGGTCCTTCGGCGTGCTTTTGACCGAGCTGGTAACTTATGGTCGAATACCTTACCCAGGGATGACTAATGCTGAGGTACTGGCCCAAGTAGAGCGGGGTTACAGAATGCCAAAACCACCCAATGCAACAGATCCATTATATGAAATTATGATATCTTGTTGGAATAAAAATGAACTTGATCGGCCGACATTTGAATACCTTCAGTCTGTACTAGAGGATTACCTAGTAGCAACAGAGCCAAGCTACAGAGACGTTGCATCTTAGGAGACTAACATAAAATTAATGTGGTAAGTTCTAAGAAATCCTCATGGATATAGACCCTAACCATCAAAGTATTGCATAAACCAGCTTCCAATTCAGTAAAATTATACATTTATGTACTCTTATCTCAGAAATTCACATCTTCAATATAGGTTTTACTAGTTTGTTGTTGTTTTTTTCTTCTTTTTTTGTTTTGTTTTTGTTTTGTTTTGTTTTGTTTTTTGAGGGACCATTATTTATCATGTGTTCAAAAAGAATGAGGCCAATTTAAGGGGAATCAATGCCAATCCCATTCATATCAATGTCATATTTTTCCTCTTGCAGCAAAATTTATTCCATGGTTAATTCTTATCGTAGACTAACATTGGAATCGTATCATTGTGCTATTACTGAATTTCTGTATTTTTCCAATAGAGTCAAATCAAGTAGTAACACCAGTAGCCATGGTAAAAGCTTGTAGAGAGATTGGTAACATACAGTAACGTTTAATCGCTGTACAATTATTTTTCATTGCGCACCACCCTGAGCTGCACTGAAATTTTACTTATACTATAGTCCACAAGGTATACTTTTTTAACTTAAATATTTTATGTGATTTTTATATGTTAATTTAATATAGGACTAAATGATAAAGTGTTTTATCAAGAGCAGGTTTTATTTGATTGAGAATAATAGTGTTGCAGCACATGGCTTGTCTATTTTTACAGTCACTTAAAGCCTGCTCTGTGTGCATATAGTTTTTATTGTAAGATTAGAAAAGATAGTCAGTTTGTGCAAAACTTTCCTGGAATCTATCCAAAAGACCCATATCTATTATTGTTTGCCACTCTAATCATTAATCAAGACAAAATTTGAAACAGCAAAAATCAGCATTAGGGTACACCAAATCAAAATATGATGACTAATTTGAATGACCATTGTTATGGACTGACAAGCCTTGAGTTCATGTGGAAACAAAAGTGTTTTCACATGTATGAGAGGCCAGTCAGTCCGGAACAATATTAATTATCTAAATTGGCTGTCATAGTTTGGTTTAGTGTATAACATCAATCAGATAAATTGTTGGGGTAGGTTCTCATGTACTTTTATGTACTCTACCAATGTTTTGATTGACAGTAGTCTACTGCGGTACACCTGTCACGACTTTTGTTGATAAGCTCATAGCAATAAAAGCATTTTGATAAATTGTTTTGATAGATAATCATAAAAGGTGACATTCAATTTTTTTTATTTTGAGCTCAAGGGATTTTTGTGCTTTTTTGTTTCGGCAATCCAGAACCTTTTCTCCTTTGTTTCCCATTTCGAACCATATCATCATCGCAAAAATGAAACACTTTTCATTCATAATAATTTGCTCTGTAAAGCATTTCCTGAAAAAGAGATATAATACTCAAGGGAAGTAAATGTGATCTGAAATGTTGTTGGATTGCATTATCCTTTATTGCTGCACAAACTTTTTTATCTTTGCTTTTCTTACTTTTCTATTAAGTTTTYTTTTAATTATTGATTCCAAAAGAAGAAAAAACAAAAACGAAAAAAATGTAACGTTTTCTTTTTTTTGCTTCTTTTGACCCAAACATTGATCTATATTTTTCATTTGTATATATCTACACTTTGAACTTACTTTCTATATTTACTTATTGCATAGTTCCAGAAAATATCCATGCCCCACCCATGGAGGAAATTGGAAATTCTGTAGGGGAGGGGAGTCAGAGAAAGAACAAAATTACAGAGTTTGTATGGACGAAGTTCCTTGAGGTAGGGGCTTCCTTTTACAAATTCCGTCCATGGTGGGAGTATGGATATTTTCTGAAACTACACAATGCATAAAGTAGTCGGCATTAAACATTCTTAATGGGGCGATAACAATGAGTTTATTTCTGTATGATTAGCATATTAATTATAGTATGATGATAGTGGGGTTCCATGAAATATACTCACCTTTCCTCTCCCCTGCAATGAGGATGGATTCACTTATTTCCATGACAGCATTACCCAGTTCCATGGATCACAAATAACATCGAAATTATCATCTATGGAATCTGTATAGGTTTCCAATTACTGGTTGAATAAAACGTTTTTGAAAAACTTAAAAATACACCCTATTTGTTTTGAGGACAGTACCTAGTGTTTCCCGTTCCAGACCACATGTCATTCCCTTGAATATACGATTCAGAAAATTGAATGAATTTCTTACACAAAGGAATAATACTCAAGGGAATAACACAATGCGGAAAAGGAAAATAAGAAATTTAGTTTATTGTTAGAGGATGTCATTGTGTGACAGTACTTGCCCATCGTTGCAGACTGACAAAAAAATTGAGATTTTTTCAGCTGATTTCAAAAAATTGAGAAACAAGAAAAAAGGATTGGTTAACTTGGTAGGGATGGTTGGACATGACAGACCATTACTATTATTAGATAGATAAATTGTATTTCATTTGATTATTGTAAAGACTAGATCTCGACCAATCATTAAAACTCCAAGAGTTGAACAGCCTAGATCTATGACAGCACTGTTAGTCATTAATTCACTATTTTTGTAAAAAATTCTTATCTTTCAATAAAATCGCTTCTAGCCAAACGTGTAGTGAATTGCTTTTAACCCCTCCCCCTCCCCTCCCCCTCCCCCTCCCCCTCAATCCTAGCCAGTCACAACGAGGGACTAGTATTCAGGACTGCTCTTCGTTGTGAAAGATTTTCCAACTTCAAAGTAAAATCCCGTGCGCAAAAAAAAAAAACTTTACTTCGATTTTGTTTTACTTTCCTTTTCCTTTAATACCATTTTTTTATTATTTTCCTTTCTTTCCATTTTCTTTTTAATTTCATATTAACTTGAAAATCAGGAAATTTTTCCAGCACCATTTCTTTCTCAGGCTAATGGTGACGTAGTTTAGCCTCGTCCCCAGCCTACTCTTTGTCAGCTCCCAAACCCAAATTGAAAATGACCTACGCTTCAAAGCTAACACACATAGCCTGGCTCAATTTCACTGTAATTGTTTCATTAAAAAAATTTAACCATTCACGTCGTTATTTAGCAATTATTCGCCGAAGGCGAAGAGAATATCGGAGAATATTTACCGAGACGCGAGTCTTCGAGCGGCGAGGTAAATGTTCTCCATATCCACTGAGCCTGAGGCGAATAATTGTTTTAGCATATACCAATTTGTGTACAGAGTAACTTATTTTTATATACAATAATTCAATAAAAACAAACAAACAGAAACTTGCAGTTTGCGTGACAAATTCAAGCAAAACGTTTAGCAAAACCTTTAGGCCATACTTCGTTGCCTTTTTAATGTTCATAGGAATGGCATTTACTTTCATTTTTTCAATTTCCTCATCGGAAATTTTAGCAAAACGATTGCCGGCAGATACCATTTTGTTGCCGACTCAATATTCCGAGATTCAATTAACCAATGAGCGAGCGCGTTCTTAGGAAGTACACAAGTTGGTATATGCTAATATAGAATAGACCCCTTGCATCACTTTGGAATGGAATCTCCAGGAGATTGGAATTCTTTTGTTTTGTCTCTCCGATCGAGCTGCTTTGACTTCAAATGCAAGGGGTCTATAGACCCCTCGATTTACTAGGTTTGGCCCATTCTCGTACCCAGAGCTCATACGAGAATGGGTAGAGAATAGCCTGGGGACGAAGATAAAGAGAGTTATCCGGTCAGCGTCACCTATAACGCATGCAACCTAAAGCTGAAAAGCCCCACGGGGAAGTGATCAATTAGCCCCATTTCACTATGACGTCACTGCTTCTTTATGTGGGGTATAGAATCGCCAAATCCAATGGAAAATTCAACAAAATTTGCTCCTAGCGAAACAGTTTAATCTAAAATGGCCTGGTTTTAAGATGTTATATGTGTTAATATGTACTAAAAAATATTCTGAACGTTTGCTGGCTATTCTACTTCTCTTCGTGGATTGATACAGGTTTTAGAACAATTTTCGGTGAATTTGCGTCGATTTGACCCCCTCCGACGACCATAATCCTTTGCGTTTAAACGATAGATTGTTTTGATGTGACGTTATAGTGAAATAGAGCAATAGAGAATGAATTTGCGTCGATTTGACCCCCTACGACGATCATGATCCTTTGCGTTTAAACAATAGATTGTTTTGATGTGACGTCATAGTGAAATAGGGCAATAGAGAATGTATGTATGTATGCAAACTCGTAACCGGGGCAACAAAAGTTATTCAACAGAATTTATTTTGGTGTTTTTTAATGTTTCTAGAACTATTACTTCAACTTGTTTTCAAGCTTGCCATATCATAGTATTTATAGTGATTAAAATTTGAACAAATCAGAAAATTTAATTATTTTCAAATTCGTTTAGCAGATCAGTAAAGCTAGGAAATTGAAATAACTATTTACTTACTGGAAAAACTAAACAATCCGAAACGGAATAATAATAGTTGCATTTATGGACGTGATTACGAAGTGCATATTTTTTATAACAAGTGCATGGACGACACGTACAGATAGATGTCAGTTGGCCTAGCAACTCCGCGGACAACCGTCAACATACAGCTGAAGAAATATATAATACACATAAAAAATTTGGATGCAAATCAGCGAAGTAGCAAAATTGAGAAGCAGGATGACGACGACGCCAACTAGCAAAAGCCTAGCAAAACGAGACATTTTTACTCAAATTCATCGACAAAGTGATTCAATTCAATCGGTCTGAGAAAAGTCCTGGAGTAGACGATGTTCAACAAACAATCGTCGCCTGATGGAAAGATTTATATATCCGTATAGTACTTTTTAAAGTTTTGGGATTATATTTATTATATATTTTTTATTTTATGTCCGTACTTATTAACGAGCAGTCTCTAAGGATCTTTTCAGAAAAAAAGACAATCGAATCGGCTAAACAGTTTCAAGTTTTTAAATCTTTTACGAACTTTCGTCTGATGCATGAACTAGGGTACAACAACAGTTTTCTTGTCGCGAATCGACTTTCAGTTAGTCAGGTACGTACATCAACCAATAACTTTTTTAAAGTGCGCCGTTTGCCATCTGCGCTGAGTCGGAGCAAAAAGAACAAGAAAGTGATAAAGAATACGTGGAAAGAGAAGTATAGTAATTAAGTTTGAAGAAAAAAAGAAAAGAAAGGAAAGTAAGTAATTTCTTTAATGTAGATAAGGTAGGTAATTTGACTTTTTTTTTTTTGATTTTTGATTTCGCTTATGGTCGCTTTTTTTTTGTGTGTGTGTGTGTGTGTGTGTGTGTGTGTTTGTTTGTTTGTCTCTTCGTGTTTTTCTTTGATTTTTTTCTTTCTTTCTTTTTCTTTTTCGTTTTTTTCTTCTTTTTTGTGTGTATATATCTATGTCTATATATATATATAGATAGATAGATAGATTTTTCATTTCGTGTGTAATCCTTTTTTTTAGAGCGTAACTCTCGTCGGAACAATTTGGTATCTAGCTGGACTGCATTCAGTGCACTGACTGGTCTTAATCAAAGTGAACACGTACGGCGAACGAAGATGACTTATGCAGGAATAGAAGTTCGACACAAAAAATACATTTTAAAGCCTGGTTCTCGCTTTAGTGCTATTCTCACTATGAAACGAAGCGGCGCAAGCGCAAGAGGACCCAAGAGTAAGGAAGATTCTTTTCTTTTCTTTTCTTTCGTTCGCTTGTGCTTATGCTTGCGTCGCTAACGAGAACAAGGCCACTACTTGGTCAGAAACAAAGATGTACATCGTAAAACCAGCAAAAAGCGAATCGTACAAAGATCGTGTTATCGAGACATCTTCGTCAATTCTAGAGAGGGAGAAAGAAGTGAAAGTGTACTGTGGATGGTTAACAGAAAGACGAACGTGAAGATCATGAAGTCGAGGATAAGTTCCATCATGTGTTAACAAGAGAAGGGAACTTCGCGATGAAGGCATTAACCAAATTATAAACTGGTAGGTTCATAAATGGACTTTTTTGACTAGCTTCTAAAAAGGTGCGTGTTATATTGTGTTATGTACACCTACTTGCAAGAACGTTGTTATACGAAAATAGAACATTAGCGATTTAGTGGGATAGGAATTATATTAAAAAACAAAAGAAGATCACTGAAGCTGAACTTTTTCTTTCGTCTTTGAATGTATTCCTTTCTCACTAAATTACAAATGTTCTATTCTTGTATGACAACCTTCTTGCAAGTAGGTGTATATCGGTATTACTATTATATAAAGAATACACGTGCTTGATTTTCAGACTTTTTGATTTTGTGAATTGTTAAATTATAGGCGTCATTTTTGGCCAAGTTCATCAACCATTCAATTACACGGATCTTAACATGTGACCTGAATGATAAGCAGCCAGCCATCTTCTTTTCAACAACGCACATTGGATGTCAAAGCTAGGTACGTTTTCCAAAATATTTCTATCCTTATACTAAACGAAAATCGCTATATTGTAACACTAATGATTTTTTAGCATTTTTGTGCGCTTTTTTGGTCATTTTTTATGGGGATAATTCAAAAATAGCACCTTGATTCTGGGGCCGTGTTAGCAAACCATCAAAAATCCTTGGAATTTCGACACTGTCGTCGTTGAAACTGGCATGGGTTCTCTCAGAAAATCGATATATTTCAAAAACTAGTAGAAATGTATTTAAGAAAACTTAATCATTGATATATAATGTTTTCATATGAACTTTCCTTGATATGATGCATAGACAATTTATAGTCGGAACCTCCCCGAGCACGGGCAAAGCCTGACGCCGGCTATAGTTTTCTTGTCATTACATTTCGCTTTACTAGATAAAATTCTTAATATTATGAGATGTACGATTCTATATAAGAGTGAATAAAACGTATATGCATGCATACTTAACGAGTTAACTTTCATCAGTCCACATTTGAAAGTAGAGGGCTAATTTGTAATCATAAAGCCTAGTGTGTTATTTTCTTTTATTAAGGTCCATAAGGTATAGTAAGGAACGGTACGTACTACTATACAACGCGAGTTGATTGAAACTATGCCACGGGTTTAGGTTGAATTGCTGAATCGATATATGATAACGCACAACCATAAGTGAGTCAGTAAGGCCGAGCAAAGAGAACTCGAAACTGGAGCATTCCATCAAAATAACATAACGCCACGGTCCACCCAGTAGTTGTAAGTGCATTAGAAGAAGATATAAGCATTTAATTTACTCGAAATGTTTTCCTATTTTACTGTTTTTCGATAGTTCTACGTCTATTTATCAGCAATATTTTGATAGGGCAGTCAAATTCGGCTTAGGCTGGTTGAAATGGAAGCCTGTACCTATAACTAAATAATAATAATAATAATGATGATGATGATGTCGTCGCTACACACCGACCTTGTTCGAGAATTCAACATTATGATAACTGGGCCTGATAAAACACCAGAATGCCTCACAAGTGGCAGGACACACCTACCAAAAAGCGAAGCTACAGAAGATCCCAAGAACTATAGACCAATAACGTGCCTGTCAACAACCTACAAGTTATTGACATCTTTGTTAACAGACAGAACGTGCAGCTTTCTTGGAACACACAAATCGCTCCTTGTTGAACAAAACGGATGTTGCCGAGGCTCGTATGGATGCAAAGACCAAATTCTTGTTAACAAATGATCCTCGAGAATGCTAATAAAGGTAGGAACATCAGTATGGCTTGGATATACTACAAGAAGGCCTTTCATAGTGTCCCTCACAGCTTGTAATTAATGGAAGTCGTTCGCATATTCAAAATATCATCAACAAGAGTCAAAAGTTTCTTGCAAACAACAATGAAGGACTGGAAAACTAGACTCTTACTCCAGCATTCCAGCATGAGAACGGCGAGCACTGATGCAATAAGGATAAACAATTGCATCTTCCTGCAAGGAGACTCATATTCACCTCTTTTAGTTTGCCTTGCACTTGCACCACTCAGCCAGGGTGTGCACTTACAGAATTTTTGAAGAAATTAAAAGGTTTCACATCTATTTTACATAGATGACTTGAAACTATATGCTAGAAACAATGACCAGCTTGAGTCCCTGCTTCATACGGTGTCAATGTTTAGCAAAGATATAAAAAAGGATTTTGGATTAGACAAGTGTGCAAAGGCAACGTTTAAAAGAGGTAAACTAGTCAAGTCCACCAATATCCGACTTGATACCAACACAGCAATCAAAGATCTTGACCAAGAAAGATTTTACAAGTACCTTGGGGTAACAGAAAGAGATGGAATAGAGCACTCCACCATGAAAGAGCAAATCCGTAAGGACTATTACAGAAGAGTCCGCCTGGTCTTAAACAGCGAGCTGAATGCAGCCAATATTATAACCGCAATCAACACTCTGGCTGTCCCTCTTGTCAGCTACAGCTTTAGCATCATCCACTGCACTTTGACGGAGCTAAAGAAATTAGATAGAAAAACAAGAAAATTCCTAGCAATGAATAAGATGCACCATCCTAAAGCAGACGTCGATCGCATCTATCTACCCAGGAAAGAAGGTGGAAGAGGATTAATCCAGATAGAAAACAGCTATAAGTTGTCGACTGTAGGGATGAACGTATATATCAACGAGAAGGATGACAAGCATGTTAAATTGGTGCTTCAGCACGAAATGGCAAAGAAGAAGTACTCAATTGTGAGAGAGGCTGACAAGTTTTAGCGAGTAATGGAACCTCCCTACCCAATGTGAAAAAGCCTGTAGTACAACAGAAAAGGCCAAGAAACGAAAGGAACAAAAGTAAAGCATATTTTTTTTACAGTCTATAAGAGAATCATGGGAAGGAAAGCCAATGCATGGACAATACTATAAAAGGCTAAGTAAAGCAGACACTGATAGAGACAAGACCAATAAGTGGCTTAAAAGTAGCGGACTCAAAGCCGAAACAGAGGGGTTCATAATCGCTGCTCAAGATCAAAGTCTACCTACAAGACTATATCATAACCAAATAATCAAGGATAACACAGATCCGAAATGCAGACTCTGTGATACCTCAGCTGAATCAGTGGACCACTTAACATCTGTGTGCCCTGACGTCTTGGCAAGAAAAGAGTACGTTGAAAGACATGTTAAGGCATTAAGTTACATCCATTGGCGCATGTGCAAGCACTACAACTTTGAAGCACAAGGTCCAAACTGTTCTGAATAATGAATATGCCACCATTTTGTGAGACATGCCTATACATAAGGACAGGGAAATCGGTGCAAACAGACCAGATATTATCAAAGACAAGAAAAGTAAACGCTGTTTCCTGATTGATATGTCAGTGCCAAACGATCGACATTAATTGTTGGAATAAAGGAACTAGAAAAAAGATCAAAATACAAGGACTTAGAGATTGAAATATCTAAAATGTGGGGACTGAGAGTGATTAATATCCCAGTAGTAACAGGTGCCCAAGGACTCATAAGAAAAGGAATGTGGGGATTAAGAGTGATTAATATCCCAGTAGTAACAGG